CACCACAACCTCCACCTCCTGGGTTCAAACGATTCTCCTGTCTCAGCCTCCCAAGTAGCTGGGATTACAGGCATGTGCCACCATGCCCGGCTAATTTTTTGTATTTAGCAGAGAGAGGGTTTCACCATGTTTGCCAGGATGGTCTTGATCTCTTGACCTTGTTATCCACATGCCTTGGCCTCCCAAAGTGCTGGGATTACAGGTGTGAGCCACCCATGTTCTTTTAACTCACACAAGTTTTTTGTTATCCACCTTCTGAAGCCTGATTCTGTTAATGGAATGCATTTGTTCTCCATCAGGCCTTGTTCCCTTGTTGATGAGGAACTGTGATCCCCTGTAGAGGAAGAAGCATTCTGATTTGGGGTATTCTCAGCCTTTTTACACTGGTTTCTTCCCGTCATTGTAAGTTTATCCACCTGTCGTCTTTGTAATTACCGACTTTCAAATTAGGTCTCAAAGTGGACGTCCAACTTGTTGATTCCCAGCACCGGAATCTGAGCAATCCACTGCATCAGCTAAAACAGCAGCATTGACTCATGGTGCTTTTCTGCCCAGGAATCTCCGGTCTGGCTTCCTTCTTGAGTCCCTTTTTCAATCAGCTGAATAGGTGACTCTGCCCTCCCGAAGCTCCAAATGTTGACCAAAAAAGGACCCAGTCCTGTTTGCACCAAGAACCGCAACACTGGGGTGCCAGCAAAACTGCCACACCAGCCACAAGAGTCGCACTGGTGACCCATGGGGCTCCTCCACTGGGAATCTCCTGGTCTGTGAGCAACAAAAATTCATCTGAAAGTGTGGTGTCCTCTCATCCTTTGCGCTTTCACTGGGAGCTACAATCCTGAGCTGCTAGTAATCAGCCATCTTGGATCTCTCTTCATATTTGTAGTCTTCTATCCCTCACCCCCCTCTCACTCTTCCCCTCAAGTATCAGTGAGACCATACAATGCTTGGTTTTCCATTCCTGAGTTACTTCACTTAGAATAATAGTCTTCATCTCATTCAGATTCTTTATTCTTAATGATTGTTTTGCATGCTTGAGAAAAACTACATGTATACATTTCTCCTTGTAATTATTTTAAGTTCTACTTTATAAATGTTGAGACTATTTTATTAGATACATTCAAGTTTAGAATGATAGTACTTACCAATGATAACTAACTTTATTCATTTCTAGCAACCTTCTTTATATCTAGCAAAGTTTTTGACCTTGTCTATTTCATCTAATGTGTATGTGTGCTGGCAGGAGTGGGGAGGTGTATTTTTGTTTTCTTGGTGGTTAGTCAAGCTAAGTTATGTCATGGAAACAAATATACCAAAATGTTTAGTAACTTAATAAAACATATGTCTCCTTCACACAAGATCCTATGTAGATATTATAGATGTCCTAGAAGACTCACTTCCAAGCAGAATCCAAGCTCCTTCCTTCTTGGGGCTTTACAATATCTATTAGGCTTTAAATAAGAAAGGGAAGGGTAAGCCAAGGTTCATGCCAGGAATTTTACCCAGCAAGCTTGAGTTTTATTAAGTTTGCTGAGCATCTAGTAAGGATTTTTCACAGTATTTGGTTAACAAAAACACACACACACACACACACACACACACACACACACACACATATATATATATACACATACATATGTGTATATTTATATATAATAGTATATGAATATATTATATATGCCACATGGATCACCTAATATATACATATCATCATATATGTATAATCATCTTCTGCTATATACAGCACATTGACAAGAGTTCTGAGATGTGTATAGTGTCACAAAAAAGGAAAGTGAACCAAAAACTTGTGAAAGATTTCACGGACCAGGCTTGGAAGTGATCTTTCATCCCCATGTCATTGGACATAAAACAAGTGGTCCCAATATAAATACAAAAAAAGTCTTGGAAAAGCAGATATCCTCTGTGCTTAGGAAGTGGAAACAAAATTAGTGAGCATTTAGTCAGTCACAACACCCAGTTCTCATTGTTTACATTTGCCTAGTATATACTTTCATATTTTTTTAACTTGAATTCTTTCTGAGTCTTTATATTTTAGGCATGTCTGTTGTAAATATTTTATAATTTAATTCACTTTTTAAACTCTGTTCTGACAATCTCTGTCATTTCAATAGGGAATTTAGTCCATTTACATGAAATGTGATTACTTATAATTATATTTCTGTTTCTAAGATTTTCCACCTGTGTACTTTATTTGTAGTCTTTTTATGGATTGTTTATCTTTCATTTTTTTCCTACTTCTATGCTCACTTAGAAGCTCTAAATTCTTTCTCTACTTGTTAGTAATATCTCTATCTCCTCACTGAAATTATTTCTTAAAATTTTCTAATAAAAAAAATCAGTGTTAAACTTATGACACTCCAGTGTTCTCATTTCTCTTATTTTAAAATTCACAATTTAGCAATTATTATTATCTCTATTTCACCTAAATCAATGCTTGCCTGGATTTACAGATATATTTATCAATTTTTTATTTCTCTCTTTCTCTCTCACAACATTTCTCTTGTATCTTAATTTTTTCCTTCTGTTACCAACTTTTTCTTCCTGAAATACAGTTTTAGAGTTTTTACAATGACCTATTAAATGTGTACACTTAATTTTCTTTGTCCACATATGCCTTCTACCTCACTCTCTTTATTGAACTATAGTTTACTTCACATAAAGTGTGTAATGATTAAAATGTATATAAATGATAAATGGACAAAGGTATGCTTAATGAAAAGTCTAAGTAAGCTTTGAAGTGTTACCATTTTAAAATAAATATTTTAAAATGTAATTTATTTTAGTGGCCAATTAATTAAAATAATTGAATTACTGTTGAGGTTTCTTCTGGTAAATGTATTTTCTTGTGCAGTAGAGTGAAGGGTTTTGTGTTGTTGATGTTCTTAAAGCTATGTTTTAAAAAAAAATCATCAAGATACAAGTAAAGCTCAACCAAAATTAGTATTGCCTATTTCATGATTGAATTCATAATAAATTTATACTACTAATTTTCCTTTGCATGTCTTTCAGACATAAAATTCACATGCAGTGCAAAACTATGTATTGCTATGTGCTATAACAAACATCACAACTTTCAAAAATATCATCTAGAGATAAAGGTTTGAATGTTCTTTTAGAATGTATCTCTGAGTATTTTGCTATTTTTATACATTACATTTTCTAAGTCTATATACATTGTAATAGAGTGTGTAATGTTTTTTTCTTGACCTCCTCAAAAGTATATTTTCATTTACAGAGCTTTCTTATTTAAGAAACTTAAGCAACAGTGTAAAGACAACCTGACAAAGTCAATTCGTCAATGTCAGGAGAATTATCCCTCTTCAGAGATGATCAAAGATGTCTAGCCTTGAAGGAAAAAAACATAAGTAAAAATTTGCTAAGCTCATAGTTAAATTTCTTATCAAATTATTTTTTGCTCAATTGAGAAACATTACTTTTGAAGCAATCTATCTTTAAGATAAATGCTAAGCTAACAAGAGTAATTATATTATTGCAAACTTCAGTTTTATAGAATATAAATTGAGCTTGAGCAGTCCAAGGACTTATAAAAGTCAGAGAGGATCTGAAAGTTGAGCTCTAACTATTTGAAAAATGAACGGATTAAGAAAATTAGGGAAACCCAACACCGAAGAGAATGTGAATGGTTTTATCTACATGACTTTTTTTCCCTGCCAGTTGTTTCAGAAGGAAACTACATATAACAGTTTACAACTTTAGCTTATATAATATAAATTAATGTTGCCTATATACACCAATAAACGTCAGCATCAGAGTATTGATAATCATAAATATGACTCAGAAGAATAAAGCTCCTATTAATATTCTCTATTTTGGGTGTCTGAAATACGTGACATACATTTACTGAAAAAGATCTGTAAATTAAGGAAATGAGCCACTTGTTTTCAAAGACTAAAGATTATCTGAAATTAACTCATGTGAAATTCCTCTCTTGATGCCCTAGGACAAATGAAGCATGACTCTATAAGCTTTTTTTTTCTTCTCACTTTGTATTTGACCAAGGAACAAATTTTAATTTCCAAAATGAACAAATTTTCAATTTCTACCTTCATGATAACTTGATATACTTAAGAAAAAAACAAAACAAAGTAAAAATCTGAAGGTCAAGTCAGACACAGAAAAGCACACATTATATAATTTTATTTATATAAAATATGAGATGAGTCCAAGTTAACCTATGGTATTAGAATTTGGGCACTATTATAGTTACGCTTTGGGCAGGGGGAGGGAGAGTGACTGGAAAGGAGCATGATGTGTGCTGGTAATGTTGTGTTTCTAGGTCTGGGTGTTGAATCTCGAGTTTGCTTGGTTTGCAAGAATTTACAGAGCTATGTATTTATATTTATGCATATTATACTTTAATAAAAAAAGATTTTAAAAACTTGAAAGTCAGTAACAGAGGTAACAGCCAGTCTTTACACACAGATGCTAAATTACACCGACAGTACTAAGTTGGCTTAGACCTCAAAGCTGTCTGAAATGGGAGCCATGATAGTAATTGTGAAAGTTGAGGTATATCGCTAAACTGTCTTTTAATTTTGACTTTGCTGGATTAACATAGCAATATTAAATATTATTTTTATAAGTCATGGAATATAAAGATAGAGAAATAAAATGTCATTAAATCTCAATGCTGAGAAAAGTTGACTTTGTTCAGAATTCCACTGTTTGAATTAAAGAGATTAACCTCTAATTTGTAGGCTCTTTCTTTGTAGTTATAAAACAGCACTTTAATTAGTGATTAGTAAAGCTGTTCAAGATCACACACCAAAAAAAAAAAACTCAATCAATGTTGGATTTCTAGGTCAAACAAAACCCGAGAATCCTTTTCTCATTCATTGTCCTAATCTGTTGGATTTCTGTGCAAAATCAGCACATTTTCAGGTACGGTTATCTTACACTGCATTCCCTATTATCAGAAGGCCTGTTACTAAGAGATGTCTTGTCTCTTTGCCTCTTAGAGAGAAAAGAATAATATTGCTGCTCAACGAATTAGGGGATCCAGTGCAGAGAGCCTTGTCACTGCTGATAGCCCCCCACCATCCATGTCATCAATTATGAAAAATAACCCACTCTATGGTGACCTAAGTTTGGAGGAAGCTATGGAAGAAAGGAAAAAGAACCCATCATGGACCATTGAGGAATATGACAAACGTTCCCTGCACACAAACCTCTCTGGACATCTGAAGGTACTCAGAGCTAAGAGTCACCCTCTTCAACTGATAAGAGAGATCAGTCAAATAATCCTAAGAGAAAGGGTTATTGAAGTGACGGTTATTCTTCACTAGGCACAGAATCTCCAGATTTCAGAGCATTCTGGCCTCTGGCTTTTCTTTCTCCCTCCTACTCCTAGTCAGTATTTGTGTTTATTTCTTTTGAGTTTTACAGTTTTAATAGTTACTGGCAACTGTACAGTGTAGAGAAGAAAAAAATTATGTAGCACAGAACAAAGTTTTTCCAGGAGAGTAAAAGTTTTTTTTTGAAAATTAATTTGCAAGATTATATTTTCTAGTAGTTTATGCACATTTATGTTCATGAAGACATAAAAGCTGATTCCCTATTCTACATTTATTTGAAAATATATATTAAGTGTTCTGTGTTAGGCACTGAGCAAGAAAGTTCTCATCAAAGATTATTTTATCTCAGCCCTCTCGGTGATTTAAGATTGCAGATTTACATTTTGGTCATATTTCTGTGTCTCAGTAACAAAACAAAACAAAAACATTTCAACAGAGGAAAAGTATGCAATGAACTCATTCACCCAGCTTAAACCCAACAAAAGTTGTTCTTTCTTTCTTTGCCCCTGCTGGTGTCACCTCACCACATGACAAACTTCGAAATACCTGAATAGCAAGGAAGCAGCCAGCCCTCTGTTTTCTGAATGGACTGGATTCCAACCCAGCTTTGGCTTGTCTCCACCTGCCCTCGGCCAGGAAGGCCTGTCATTTTCCAAGCACATACTCTTCATTTAAAAATGTTTATTGGTGCTAAGCCCCATACCTTAAGCACTAGATAATTTTCCTTCTTATATTTTTGAAGAGGACAGCACCCTGTCTCCTTGAATCCTACTCACATTTTTTACAATTTCAAATATGTACTACCCAAAAGACCCACTGTGCAGAATCTTTGAAGTTTCTTAATCTCTTACTAGATTGAATGTATCTCCTCCTGTATGTAGCCTATTTTCCAGAGAAGCTTACATAACAGATGCTCTCCACAGAAACAGTAATCTTGTTTCTTTTCCCTTCTTTCTTCTTTTTTGAAATCTTGCATTGCTTACCAAGAGTCTTAAAGACATCTAAAAAGTCACCCCTACTATTGAAAAAAATAATTATTTATTTTACAAACATTTCTTGACCATATGTTAAGGCTTCTTCCTTTTGCTGTTTACATGCAAAATAAGGGAACTATGGAAGTGGATGTCACTGTCTCTACCCTCAAAAAGTTGATCTAACTAAGCAAATTAACAGACAATAACTATAGAACAAGATAAAGGAAGGTGATGATAATAGTAACAAATAGTGCCATGCAGTGTTCTCACTCATAAGTGGGAGCTGAAGAGTGAGAACACATGGACACAGGGAGGGGAACAACACACACTGGGGCCTGTGAGCGATGGGAGGCAAGGTTGGGTTAGAGTCCAGTCCATTTAGAAAACAAATACCTAATGCAGGTGGGTCCTAAAGCCTAGATGACGGGCGATGGGTTCATAGGTGCAGCGCCACCATAACACGTGTATAACTATGTAAGAAACCTGCACATTCTGTACTTGTATCTTAAACTTACTTAAAGTAAAAAAAAAAAAAAGTACTCCCAAAGTTCCATCATCTACTTTACCCATATAACAAACCTATACCTGTAACCCTGAACCTAAAATAAAAGTTCACACACAAAAAAAGAAAACACCTTTTTCCTCACATTTGCCAATACTGGTTATTTTTCAAGTAAATTATCAATGATTGGGGAAAATGGTAACTCATTTTTGCTGATTTTCATTATTCTGATTACCAGGCAAGGCTGAATATTCTAGTAAAAGCATAAAACTTGTTCACTATAAATATTAGCCCAAATTAGGATTAGTTTGATAGTACATAATTATCTCCTGTTAAATGTTGCTATAGGCTTACCTATAATACCCTTCATTCTCAGTCCTAAGAAATTGCTGATTTGGTTTTCTGCTCTTTCTTTGTGGAATTAATCCATCATCTCCATTGCCAGCAGCAGCACCATCAGTCAGGCTTCCTGATAATTCCATGTTATTACTTCGTGCTTCTTTATTTCTTCTTCAACCTTGAACGGAAGTTTGATATTAAGAATGGTTATTACTTTATACGACGAAAAGAAGTTTTTGTTTCACTGAAAAGAAATAAAGAAGAAAATTTAAAAAGAAAAGAAAGTCCTATCTAGGATAGGAAAGGGACACAAATCACATTTGATTATAAAAAGACATCATGAAAAAGCAAACTTATGATGGGCTTGAAGGATGTATAGAATTCCAAAAGATACAGATGGTTTGCCTAAGTGGGAACGCTCTTTTATCAGGAGTAGCAAAAGCAAAGATAGAAATATAGGAGCTAGGCTGGGCGCGGTGGCTCAAGCCTGTAATCCCAGCACTTTGGGAGGCCAAGGTAGGTGGATCACGAGGTCAAGAGATCAAGACCATTCTGGTCAACATGGTGAAACCCCGTCTCTACTAAAAATACAAAAAATTAGCTGGGCATGGTGGCACGTGTCTGTAATCCCAGCTACTCGGGAGGCTGAGGCAGGAGAATTGCCTGAACCCAGGAGGCAGAGGTTGCGGTGAGCCGAGATTGCGCCATTGCGCTCCAGTCTGGGTAACAAGAGCGAAACCCCGTCTCAAAAAAAAAAAAAAAAAAAAAAAAAAAAAAAAGAAATATAGGAGCTATAGATTAAGTAATAGAATAATGAGAAAATAAGGCTAGGAAATAAAGCTAAAAAAATGTTCAAATGTTAGGTTTAGGAAATTGAATATTATTGGCAATAAGGAGTATTTTTTTTAAGCTGGGCTATTACATGAGTCATGTTTAGGAAGAATGAACCATAAATACAATAAGTGCCATATTTTGCTAGAATCAGGACATGCTCCCTCCTCCACCCAGTCCTCTGTGTGCACTCTCCGTCTCCCCAAAGCCGTGGACCCTGAGGTCTGAGGCGTGTTTACAGGCCTCAGGAGGTTATTTGTCAGCATTAACTTCCTGAGGGAAGCTTCTGGAAGCTATAACTTTTGTTTTCATTAGAATTTCTTCCTATACCTTATTAACTCAACTTTCACCTCCATTCCTATGTCTCACAGAGCCCCCTAACTTATTTTCTGAAACCTTGGCACTACTTGTAGGCTATAAACTCAAGTCCCTGTGGTTCCCTCCCATTTTTCTAAGTGGCTAAGAGTTTATAAGCCAGAGAAGAAAAGAAATCCATATTTAATTATCAAGGAAAGCTAGAAGCAGAATGTAAGACAGGATAGTATCTATTAGTGAAGCTCTTAGCAGAGAACAGACAAAATGCAGGCCTCGGATTAGGACACAAAATGAAGGATAAGAGTGAGGTAGATGAGGATTTTTAAATCATTATCCTTCTGCACAGATCAGCCAGATTTGATTTTAATATTTTAGCATTTCTACGACTAAGCAGTTTAAACTAGGACCAGTGTAATGGGAGGATCATATTGCCATCAACAAAATATATTGTCACTTTCTATTAATACATGCATGCACAGTCCTCTCCTAGCAGTGCACCTGTAAGTCCAAAGCTAGTTCATTGACCCCTGAGGCTGATAAAGGAAGCTGGCTGTGCCACAGTTCAGTGGACTTTAAGTCTACTGAGACTGGAGAGGCAAAGAGAGGGTGGGCAGTTCACTGTAAGCCATTACAATAAAGCAGGTGAAATATAATGAAGTATTAAGCTAGTTTGTGAAAGCAGAGATTGAGTATTCATTGTAAATTTGTTGCATATAAGGCATAGACACCAAATCTACAGCACCAAAACATAGCAAGAGATGTAAAAGGAAAAAAATGTATTTTTATAAATGTATAGTCAATAGAGTTTGCAGGTGATTTATCAGGTACAGGAGATCAGGTTGACTTGATAATTCTATGGGACCAGAGGGAAAGATGAAGTCTGTGAAATAAAGAGAGACATGGGGAATAAATAAGAGTGGATGTCGGGAAGAATATAATGGGCCCCTTTCTCAGGAGATCAAACAGTTTCTGCATGCCAGACATGTGGCAGCCCTCTACAAGGAAAATCAGTGGGTCAAGAGTCATGGAAGAGACTCCTGATTTTTAGTCCTGCTACTTCCATGGAAGTCAGCTTCTGGATTTACTGATAACCTCACCAAGCATGTTTATTCCTGCCAAGCAGACAAAAATCAAACCTCAAAGGTTCATCTAAAGCAAAGAATTTTCACTTGATTTCAACTTACTATGCTGAATTACATGCACTATTTATAGGATGTGAGAAAAACTAAATTGGCTACAATATGATAGAAACACCATTGTGTTTCTGACCCTCCAATGTGAACAATTTAATTAAAGAATCAGGAAAGCCTCCTAATTAATTCTGATGCAGACATACAAATTGGAACTGCAGGGATTCCTTGTGAGCCAGGAGACTGTAGCTGCATATTTATGCTATTCAAGGAAGCTTCCTCTCGCTCATGTGAGCCATGACATTGAAGCCTTGCTCAGGACAGAGTGAATATGGACCTTCAGTCCCCATGACAGTGTCTTGTTCTGCAGTCTCAATTAATTTGTAACACTGACTGATTACTGATTAATCATATTCTCCGTGTAATTTTCTTTTAGGAAAATCCTAATGACCTGCGGTTTTGGTTGGGAGACATGTACACACCAGGTTTTGATACTTTATTGAAAAAGGAAGAGAAACAAGAGAAGCAATCAAAATTCTGTCGTATGGGTCTGATTTTACTTGTCGTTACCTCCATCTTGGTTACCATAGTGACTATTATTACTTTTTTCACCTGAGGAAACTGCCACCATCAGAGCTATTTTAAATTTCCTAAAAAATTTTTCTAGATAAACATTTGCAGCTTCCCGAAAAAAAATAACAACAACCAAAAACATGTACATCCAGTATGAATGGATTGTTGATTGTACTATTAAATGTAATTGTCTTGTAGAATGTGAATGTCACATGTGGTGTGATGGCTTCTGTACTTTGTTCTATAAAAGCTTTGTAAGACTTCCAGCCTGAGCTTTGTCCTTTGGGAAGCAGGAATTCTGAGGACCACAGTCACAGAAGAGTCACTATATACAACCCAAATCAAGTATCTGGATAGGGAGCAAAACAGTATCAAAAATTGTCAGCAGCTTTGTTTTCATAGTTAATCTGTATTAACCATGTTTTAAAGATACTGTTAACTCTTTACTACCTCATCCTCCTGTAATCATCAGAAAAGTTTGAGCAGATATTTTTTTTTCCAACTGCTGGGTAGCTGGCAAAAATCTAGTTGTGCTGCCAACTGAGTTAGATTCATTCCCTGTTTTATTTTCCTATATTTCTGTTTAAGTCAGAAATAAAGGAAGGAGGGAACTATCTTATTGAAATCTGTTCTTATATCCCCAGTAATCATCTATAATGTCCCAATTTCATGCTGCTACTTTAATAGAATTAAACTTGCACAGGCCATAGTTACAAAATTAATTACGTTTAGATCCAATTTATCCAAATTGGCTACTGTGACCCCTGGTGGCAGTCAATGTGTATATATCGCCAACCATGGTCTAGGTTGGGGGTCCCTGGGAAAGCAGAGGGAATACCGTTAAGAGAACATGGTGTAAAGCCTAACTGCTACTTGCTAACAGACTCTGGCAAGTTATTCTCTCAGAGAAGGAATGATACCACCTGCCCAAGAGGGATGGCCAAAGGACCAAATACAAAACAGGTATGAACAGTATCTGACTCTTAATAAGCAGTTTTTAGTTAAAGGCAGTTGTTATTATTAATTTGTGCTAGCTAATTGACAACCTGAGCTTACCTTCCATTGTCTGCAGGACATGGTTCTGGTCACAGATGGGGAATCAAGTCACTGCTCTTTCTTTCCTTTTACAACATCCTCTCCTAAGCCCTCATTCCCACTCCTTTCTCATCTTAAAACACCCAGCCAAAGTCTATCTTATGCAAGAAACAAAAGAGGGACTTTCTCTTCTTCCCATGAGCCTGAAGTCAGATCTTTGTCCTGTGATATTACCATACCATTGTGTTGTATTTGTCTCAAAGATGCTTGAAATAAAGTACAGTAAATGACAGTTTTCGCTGGGCACAGTAGCTCACGCCTGTAATCCCAGCACTTTGGGAGGCCATGGTGGGCAGATCATGAGATCAGGAGTTCAAGACGAGCCCCAACATAGTGAAACCCCCTCTCTACTAAAAATAGAAAAGTTAGCCAGGTGTGGTGGCGATTGCCTGTAGTCCCATCTAGGGTGGGAGAATCCTTTGAACTCAGGAAGCGGAGGTCGCAGTGAGCTGAGATTTCGCCACTGCACTCGGGCCTAGGCAACAGAGCAAGACTCCATCTCAAAAAAAAAAAAAAAAGACAATTTTACCGGACAATAAAGTTGTTGCATAGAAAAAAATTGTTTTAGTCCAATTTAAAACTGAATTGCAAGAAATAAAGTCTCAGGGACTTTATCACTCTCACTGTGGACATAGATATTACTTGCTATTACTCTGCCTTCAAAGCTTACCTGTCCAAAGTTTACCTCTAAGGGATTCAAAACATGCACAGGTCTCTGCCACACATGGAAAGCATCTGTGCTGCATCAGGTTACATATGGTTGCCTAGGATTAAGCATGGGTAAGGCTTTCTAAAGGCAATAAGCAAGAGTAACCATAAAAGTGCAAAGACTGCTTACCTGAATTCCTGGTCTCCCTTGTCCCTGTCTCATTACCTTTCTCCTCTGCCTAGTCAATTGTGGTCAAGCACCTAGTATTCTTCTACTGTCCCTATCCCTCTTCTATTCTTATTTATATACTATCGGTCATTTATGTTTCATCATAAATGAGTTTATTGCTTTCCTATTGCTCCCAAACCATCTTCATTTTTAGCTTTCAGTGTAACTATAGAATAAAAATGTATTGATTTTAAGCATCTACACAAGGGCAACTTATAAATAAAGAGAATATATCTCTGTTTATACTCAAAATAATACATTAAAAGGAGTTCCAGTTTCGCCTTCTACAGTATGGGTTTATGTGAAAATGGAGCAGAAAGAGCATAAGGTCATGGAAAATACAGAGGCGTTCCTAACAGGCCTATGTTGAAATCTGCTTTTTTGAGAGGCTCTCATCCAGATTCAATGATCTAATGTTTCTAAATATTTAAATACAATCTTTGGCACATAACAGTAGATAAATAATAAATATTAACTCTAAAACTAACTATTTTAGTAATATTTTTTACTAAATTAGGGTGAGAACATCTGGCTCCGCCAATTCTTAAGTGATAATTTAATTTCAAACAATAATCTGCCCCAGGTTTTTGTAACCCCCTCCCCCACACACATACACAAGAAATTCTCTTTTGTACTTTTGTTTTGTTTTTGTATATTAGGTGAGTGTGTGGGAGGCCTAAAAGCAAATGATATATTAAATTTTCTTTAAAAAAAAGTTCCAACTGTGCATACTTTTTAAAAGTGCCCGTCCCAGACTCAAAAGAGGATTAAAGTTGTTTTATAGCCTAATCCCTTAATGGCCATTCCAATTACATTCGCGCTGCTGTCACCTAGTGGAGAGTTTAGTGAGTGGAAAACAGAAAAGGGAACGTCCTGGATCCATTTTTTTCCAGAGTGCACTGCTGCCATCTGGTGGCCATATTTACTATGCCTGCCCTCAGCTCTTAAAGCTTTTACCAAAGGGACAAAATAATATGCCACACTGTAATTAGAATCAGTGGGATAGCATGACTAAGAGCTCCTGTAACCACTACTTTTGATACTCTCTCATCTTTCAAGAAAAGAAATGTGATTGGCCTCAAGTCATACTGACACTTGAAGGCAGAACTGTAACACTCAACATCAACTCTTGACTCTAAGACACATCTTATGCTAAAGCTAAAAGCTAGATGAATGCCTGGAAATTGTCCCATTCCTAATCTCTTCAAATGGGTTAAAATTTTAAGAATATTAAACAATTTTCTGCTTGTTTCAGAGTTGGTATGATCTCCTGAATTTCTACATATGTAGCCTTCTGTATTGAGGGTGGCTTTAAATATTATTTTTTAGTAACTTTTTACTAAAATTAAACTTTAATAGTGTTTATCTGTACCATTGTTTAACACAATTCTTACGTTCTCCTCTCATATAATTGAATAAATATAATTTTATTTATATGAGAAATAATTTTTAAAACTGTCAGACAGGGCCCTTAAATCTTAACACCTCTTGATTTCTCCTTCCAAACCTACACGGTCTAAGAGGATATATTCTTTAGAGGAAAGACAACCTTTCTGGTTTCTTCCAAATAATCACTTAGTCCAGGCTCTTGCCTAACATGAGGTGAGAATATTCAACGGAAGTGAATGACTTCAGAATCCGAACCCAGATTTCTGCCAGCGCAGTTGCTCCACTTTCATTTTACAGATGCTGTGACTCATGTACCTCATCCAATTTCACTCTATTTGCAGACTGCTGCAAAATTAGGGTGAAATGGGGACCCTCTCTTCTTTGCGGAGTGTATAGGATGTCCTTGTGTGCATTTTGAGCCCCACCTGCATTCCTAGCTCCATTTCATAATCTTCCCTTTCCCGCCTCTTCCTTCCTGCCTTAAATATATGGTAACCCACAGCGCAGTCTTTCCCCAAAGCCTTATACTTACTGAAAAGATGCAGTATATACAGAACTATATAGACTATATAGAGAATTGTGTGTCTGTGCTTACAATATATGCATATATACACAAATAAAATCCAAATGTAAAAGGCTCTCTTTCAAAAGGAAAAAAATTGAAGTAAATATTGTAACTTTTAAATAAATAATTTTTTTCAGTATAAAATATTCTCTGACTAGAATTTTTCAGCTAGATGAAAAGAGATTCAAAGCTTGCACTGTTTTGCTTATCCTATACTCCATTTTCAAATTCCTGACAAAGAAAAGATAATAATTCTTATGCTAATTTAACTGGTGGGTTTTTCTCGGCTATGAAACAAGCACTAAAATATCTCACATTAGAATTAGTTTCAAAGTTGGGAAATGGTGTTTAGATAATTACTTGAATAATAAAACTATGTGCAGGCCAGATTCAAAAGCATATCAGTAAATATAAATGAAACAGCAGTTAACTAAGTTTTTTTCTTAAAAAAAAAGAATTATTTTAAAAGCTGAAACATTTCTAATCAATACTTAATAGTTAGAATAATTGTATTGTTCCTGCTGCAGAAGTTTTCTTTTTTTAAAATATAATTACAAACCACTTTCATGAATTGCAAACCTAGGAAAAACCTTTCATTTTGCTTATCATTAATATATAAATGCACAACTGTTAGAGCTGTTTTTCACGTTATTCAAGAAGATTCTTGACAAAGACCCTCTCCTTGATCTAATGCTAGTTAAGCTTTCCCAGTGTCTTTCTGACTAGGCTTTGGATTTTGGGTTGTGTCCATGGTTGGCTTATTCCACTTTTGGCAAAAATCTCGCTGAGTCAGTTTAGGGTAAATCTACTGCCCTCTATATGGTATCTTATCACCACCATGGCCTGCCTTCAACAAAAATTCTGTTAGGTCACTTTAGCAAATTACCCTACTCTGAGGTAGATGGATATTCCATCCATCAAAGCCTGACTGTTCTCCTTAGCTACAAGTCTCCACTTTTCCTTACCATATTCAGAGTAGAGACTGATCCCTTCTCTTTACTGTTAAGACCCCATTGCAGAAGCCTCCCTTGAATAAGGTCATCTTTACTGCCTTTAACATGTGTCGTAAGCAGTTTTTTTCTTTTTTCTCTTTTGAGACCGACTCTTGCTCTGTCACCCAGACTGGAGTGCAGTGGTGCAATCTCGGCTCACTTCAATCTCCACCTCCTGGGTTTAAGTGATTCTCCTGTCTCAGGCTCCTGAGTAGCTGGAATTACAGGCATGTGCCATCATGCCTGGCTAATTTTTGTATTTCTTTTTCAGTAGAGATGGGGTTTCACCATGTTGGTGTTAGGCTGATCTCAAACTCCTGACCTCATGATTCACCTGCCTCGGCCTCCCAAAATGCTGGGATTACAGGCATGAGCCACAGCACCGGGCCAGTTTTTTCTTTGACATTCCCAGTGGTTGTCCATGGACACCAGCGTCCCATGCGGCCCCATGCCTGCTGCCTGCCCACCTGAACAATTCCATCCTGGCCTTATTAAGAATTCAACAGACATAATTGTATCTTCTACATTGCATAATTTTTAAAACCCTACCACTTCTACAAGCTCATTTCATCTCAACTATAATCTTGGGAGATAAGTGTAAATGCCATATTTTACAAGAAGAGATTGAGGCTCAGGGACATCAAAAGACTTGTCAGAACCAAATTGCAATGAGAGCTTAGATCTAGTAAACCTATTCTGACTGTTCTTTCTGCTATAGTTTTTATTTTCTCATGGCTATAGTGGGGGCCTTGATATGGTCCAGCTGTTGATGAAAACAACAGAAGTGCCTCTCCTCTCCTCCACCCCATAGCTATGCATACACTCAGCCCCAGTCTCTGAGTGAGTACAAAAACACCCTGCTTTAATAAGGGCAAACACAGTTATGCCCAGCATGTCAGTAAACCTGAATGCCATATGCTTGTACCATTTTGTAATTTAGCCTTGTGGGGCTTCTTTGTAAGGTAAAAAAGTAAATGCTAGACTCTATGATTAAGAATATGTATGAGTTAATTTATCTATCTTAGTAAGTTTTGTGGATAGAATGTCTTTCCCCTATGACAATGTTCCAGAGTACAGGATTTGATTTCTTTAACTTTGCCTTTAGTTATCCCTAAATTAGATGTCAGTCCCAGCAAGCCCCAACGCCTCTGTGTCAGGAAGGAGTTTGGCTTCAGAGGAACTGACATCAAACCCACACTGAAGAACCTCACCTCCTGCAACCCTGCAGGTGTGCATTGTCTGCATCAGAGGTTCGGTGAGGTGAAGCCCTCAAACATTCACTCTCCAATGTGCTGCCATGTACATTGTTTAGCGAGTATCTGTAACTATGTACAAGCCATAGTTTAGCAACAGAATTTGTTCCCAGGCTTTTCTCACCTTTGCATAATAGGCCTTTATAATGCACGTTTCTTAATGTATGCTGACCGGACACTGAGTTTCATCTTGTTCACCATGATAGAAAGCAGAAAGAAAAGGATCATCTTTTATTTCCCTGTATCCTTTAATTATTCTTTCACCACCAGAGGGCAGGTGTGCACCAGGATGCCAAACCACAGCTTTCCTATTTTGAAGGCAGTATTTCAGTTATGTCAGTATACAGAAATCTTGACAAATGAGTGGAGAACTTCCAAAGGAATACAAGTGATTAATTGTGCTGATTAAGCCCTAGGGCAGGGAGCAGGGGAGCCTGCCGGG